CCCTCCCCAAATTCCTGTACCTGTCACCTTTCAGCTCCTGCCCCCAGTCCCACCTTCTAGGCTCACACCCTACAGAAGCCCCCCCCCTCGCCTTTGCCATCTAGTCCTCCCGTTTCTGCCCCTCTTCCTCCCACGGGGCCCATTATCCTGGCCGAGGGGATGGGAGTTGCAGTCCATCCACCCAGAGGGGGCCCCGGTGGAGAAATCCAAAGTTTTTCAGAAAATAGGACAGCCCAACAAAACACGTTTACTAATGTCTCTAAAGATGTATTGTTATTATTATTATTAAAACTGTGCGATTATACAAAGTGCAACAGTAACTTTTAAAGTGTTGGATACGTATGACATGAGGATGTTTACAATGTTACAAGGGTCATGTCGGTCTTCTACACAAAATGTACAGGGAAAGACCAGAGCAGGTGAGATCCAGACTGTCCTATTGAAGAGGAGACCCACTGAAATCAATGGTACGGAGAGAAGCCTCCCTTTACAGACATGGATCTGCTCCCATTATGACCCAGGCCGCCCACGATTTATGACAGAAAGGATGCTTTTAGGGCCTGGATCCGCCCGGAGGGCCTGGCCAGAGGAGACCTGCTGCAGGCGCATGCGTTTTTATTCTAAGTCCCAACTCACCAGCCCACCGCTGCTTTGCCAGGTCTACTCGAATCAAGACGACTTACCTGCATGTTTGTTGCGCCGGTGACTGATCCTGGGGGTCGAGGAGCCATTTCCGCGGGGCAGGAAGAGGGCGGCGCCTTTGACGGTCAGAAAGCTTTCGCTGATGCTGCCGGAGAGAGACAGACAGACAGACAGAGAGAAAAGAAAGAAAGAAAGAAGAGATGAACCAACCACGGGGCCGACAAATTAGAAACAGGACCACCCAAACCCCCTCTGTCCGGTTCAGAATGCTGGAGCCAAATCCAGGGTTCTGGAAAGTATTTCCGTGGCAGCGGGGGGTGGCCGTGTGTGTTGCACTACCTGTCCCAGAATTCCCAGCCTGACTGGCTTAGGCATTCTGGGTGTCGTAGTCCCAACCCTGAACATTTCGCCAGCTCTGAATGGGATGACGTCACGGCTGGTAAAGGACCAGCATCCCGAACTGGGCTTTCCTTCCCCCACCGGCCAAACTCCCAGGCCCGTCCACCTCTCTCCAGCCCCTCCCTCCTATGGCCTCCCCAGGATGGTAGAGAGAGCCCTGCCGGTTGGGGAGGATGGGCACTGTAGTCCCACCCCCATGGAAGGCCACCCCACAGGCCCAGAAAGGGCACATGGACAGGGCAGAAAGGGGGGCACCTTGGCAGCCAGGCCCAAGCTCCCCCACTGCCCTTTCTTTTGAAAGCAATTCTGGGGAAAAAGGAAACCACCAAACACCACTATTCACTCCCCAAAGCAGCTGGCTTCTCAAACATGCAAATATTAGGGTTTTTTTTAAAAGACAACTTCTGCAATCTGTTACAAACTTCGTCACCGCTGTCCAGCCTGCGGTTTAAAAAGTCCTGATTGTTCTCATCCGCAGACTCCAGAGTTTCGCCCTCTATTTCCCCCCCCCTTCCCGCTGAAAATCTTTATGTAGGGCTTTGAAAGTGATGCAAACCCCAAACCGCAGTGCTAAGCGGCGTGGATTCACACCCCAAGCCCCGCCAAACCGCACGCCAAGTTAAGGTTTAAATGCACTCCAGAGACAAGCAAAAGCTTCTGCTTCCCTTCTGGTGTTAAATGAAGGGAGGCAGGTTTCTTGAGGTCTCCCTCCCTCTCTTTCCCCTAAGACGATACGCTCTCTGCGCAAAGGTTATTTAAAGAAAAGGAAGTTCAATTCACGCAGAAAGCAGGCAACCGCGCCCAGAAGATCCTGGTAAGAGTTTTGCTTCCAAGTCAGCATGCGTGTGAGATGGGGGCTCAACACAGAAAGAAGCAGGATTGCCCCCCCAACCCACTGAACTGAGCACGAATCCTCTATTTTAATGTGTGTGTGTGTGGGGGGGGTACGTTTATCATTTCCCAACTTGATCCCTTTCGAGCCCAAAGTACACTTTCAGCTTTGCTTTGCGCGCACACATCGGACTGAAAACGAGAGGGGCTGGCAGGAGGGAGAAACGACCAAACACGCTGAAATTAACGGCTGCTCCGCATTTTCTTTTTAAAAAGATCAGGAGCAGCGAAGTGCAGGCAACCATCTGATTTTGGAGGCCAAAGCCTCAGAAATCTTTCAAGATTTATAAATTACATCCTGTTTGTAAAGGCAAAGGCTTATATTCACGTTTAGGGGTACGTGCTGCTTTTCTCCCGGGGGGGGGGCTTCTTTCGAAGCAGCGTACAGTAAAAAAAAAAATGTCAGAAGCAGAGGAACATAAAACTGGGCAATAAGTTGATGCCACAGAGAACATAACCACCTCCTGGATTCCACCAGACTCTTAACCGGTGCAGCTCAAGCCTATTGAAAATAATCGAATGGATAGCACACTAAAAGCACACTTAGAAAGATCTAAGATTCTTGGGCGACTTTACAAAACACGGAAGTTCCCGTTGGCTCCCGTCCGCTTTCCCAGACTTTAACCCACTTCTTCAGAGGCATGAAAAAAGCATCCCGTATAGACCCAAGGAGGCAATATAAAACTTGGCAGCCTTTAAAAAAGTCCACAAGGCTCTTTTTTTAAAAAAAAAAACTACACAATAAACTGAAGACCGAGGTAACCACCTTTCCGGAAATCATAAACGCCACACCACCAAGAGCACAAAGCGCAACAGAGGTGGAGCCCGGTGGTGAGTTGCCCAAGTTTATGATTTTATTTAAGCAAACGGCCAGGCTGCTTTAGCTGTCTGCATCACAGGGGGGGAAAACACCGCACCCACAGGCACACGCCCTGCGCACGGGGAGGGGCGAGGGGAAGAGTCAGGCAGCAGCCACGGTTTTATTTGAAATGATCCGGGCATTTTGAGCCTCAAATCCAGCCAGCCAGCCGGGTGCCCCTCCTCTAGGTAAAAAGCCTTTGCTTTCACCTAAAGCAATGGTCCTCAACCTTGGCCCTCCAGATGTTCTGCTGGCCAGATGCTCTGCTGGCCAGGATTTCTGGGAGCTGAAGTCCAAGAACATCTGGAGGCCCAAGGTTGCCCTTCCCCATTGCCTCCAGTCTCTGGAGAATAATTCTGCTGTGCCAAAAGAAGAAGAAGAAAAGGAGAAGGAATCAGCCTTCGTGACCTGAGGTTTTTGGGAGTCTGCAGCGGAGTGACATAAAGGCCCATTGAGTCGGCAATAGATGCGCTCTTTATCATTGGGGTGGGTGGGGGCGGGCCATGCACGGAAGGGCCAGGGACAGAGGGGGAACTTGCCTCGAGGCCACGGGCTCTAAAATTAGCTGGCTTTGTCCGACCATCCACCCGCTTCTCACGGGAAATAGATGCGCTCTTTATGATTGGGGTGGGTGGGGGCGGGCCATGCATGGAAGGGCCGGGGACAGAGGGGGAACTTGCCTCGAGGCCACGGGCTCTAAAATTAGCTGGCTTTGTCCGACCATCCACCCGCTTCTCACGCCAGCCAGCAAGGCGAATCGCATCCGCTTCCCGATCCAGACCCGGAGAAAGGGGGTTTGGGCTACCACGCTAAGGACCCTTGAGCCACCGTGGCCCAGGGAAGGGTTAAATGTGTTTTTGTAAAAGGTGTCCCGGTTTTCCAAGTTCTGGACTCAGTCCCTGGGACCACAGAGGGACGACGCTGGGCCGTCTTGGGGCCCTGCGTTGGGAGGAAAGTGTGATTTAAATAAAATACCTAATCTACCTAGCTAAATTCATGTGTTGAGGGTTGCGGACATGCACCTTAAGTGTCGATGCTGGCAACGGACGTGCAGGACTGACCCCCCCCCCCCGCATGCCAAGGGAGTGCTTTCTGTCGGGCCCTTTAATTTCACTTCTGCAAAACAGCCCCGTCTCCTGCAAAGATGAACAATCTCTTTTGCCCTCTCAAACTGCATACAGAACATTCACGCAGCCAAAGTCTGTTCCCTAAAAGGTCTCTCTCTCTCTCTCTCTCTCTGTCCCGACCATGTTCCTTCCTCTCTCGCCTTTTCCACGGCCCAAATTAAAATGATACGCCTCCAGGAGCGTGGGAAATGTGGTCGTTTTGAACTACACTACCCAGAATCCCCAGCCACGATGGGTCGTGGCTTTTGGGAATGGTAACCCAAGGAAGATGCATTTTTCCAGCTTCTGGATCTGTCTCGGTGGTGCATTGCACAACGGTCTAAGGAACCCACAGATGCTTCCCGGAGTCTTGCACCTTTTTCTTAAGAACGTGGAAAAACAGACCATTCAGGTACACTGGGGGAGGCGGGCGGGCAGGCGTGTAGAAATCCAGAAAGGTCAAAGAAAGCAGAGCAGAATATACCCCCCCCCAAAAAAAGCCAGGATGTATTGAACACAACAACAGGAGCCCAAGGCAGTTAAAAAAGAAAACAGCACAGGGCAGAAAATCTGGCCTCAAGTGCATTATTGAGGAGAGAACTGCAGGCAGGCAGTTTGGAAAAACACTCCGCGGTTAAGGGGGTGGACGGCATGCCTCTGCTTCTGCTATGCAAATCTGAGCCATACCTGCTTCCTCTGGAGATAAGGCCTAGATAAACACAGACACAGCTTTGGGAGAGAGAGAGAGAAAAGTTATTTAAGAGGCACTGCATACTTAGCACCGGCAATTCCACCCAAAGCAGAATGTGGCGCTGCTTCGGAATGGCCTCCCTGCATTTTGGAAGGGGGGGGAAGTTTCTAGTCCTCATGAGTAGAAGCCCACGTCAAGTGAGGCGAAATCCTTCAAGCGAGGAAGCCACAGGCACAGATTCTGGGAATTGTAGTTTTTTTAAAAAATCAAGTCTTTTTCAAGCTCTGAATGTCCCACACCAGTCCTCTGCCCCCATCTTGGTTTCCCAGCAAAAACACCCCCCCCCACACACACACACACAGACAGACAGAGAGAGACTTGCAGTTTACTGTCAAACAATGTAAACCCAAGAAAAATCTGCCTCCCTTCCTAGATGGAACCCCGGTAAAAACACAGCCCGACACAGACGTCAGAGAGCCGAGGGGAGGGACGGAGCCAGACGCAGCTGGAGGTCAAAGAAAGGGAACTGAGAGAGAGAAAGAGAGAGGGCCCCGTCAACTGTGGCCGGCCGGCCGGCGGGCAAATGCAAGAACAAGGAAGTGGAGCTTTCCGAGAAGGGGAAGATCGCGCCCCATCCAGAGCGTGGGAACGTCGACAAAAGCTGGTGCCCCCCCCACTTCCGCCCGGTTGTCACATCATCCAGACTCCAGGGGCCTGCAGTCTGGGGTGGGTGAGACCCACACCTATGGGGCACAGGGGAAGCAAAGAGCCTGAAACAGCTCTTGGGTCCAAGGAGCCGGACGAGAACTCCCATTATCCCCAAGCACTGGCTGGGGAGGGTGGGGATGGTAGTCCCCAACGGCTCGGAGAGGGCAGATTCGGCCGCCTCTGTTTTATTCGACACGCTGCCCCGTCCGGTTTTGCAGGCCAAAAATGCCAAAGGGGGACGGGAGCAAGCTGGTGACTTAAAGCGTGTTCCCCAAGAAATTCCCTCAGGGAAGGAAAGGGAGAGGAGGCGGCGACTTAAGGCCTTCGGTCCTGCTTCTGGAAAAGCGTAACGTGGTAGCCAAGGAGCTGAGCCGCCCCAGCGAGGGAGCAGGGGAAAAGTGCCAACCGGGTCAGGCAGCCAAGGAATTTTAAATATTTCCCCCGTTTACAAAGCAGCCGCTTTTTGACCCTCTGGAGGCATCAGGCTACGG